CTGTTTCTGCTTTGCAAATAAGATTATACCATTTTCTAGATTCCACATATATGCATTAATATATGGTCTTTATCTTTCTCTTTCTGACTTACTTCACTCTGTAACATTCTCTAGGTTCATTCACGTCTCTGCTAATGACCTAACTCCGTTTCTTTTTATGGCTAACTAATATTCCATTGTATAATTGTACCACAGCTTCTTTATCCATTCATCTGTTGATGGACATTTATGTTGTTCCATGTCCTGGCTATTGTAAATCATGTTGCTATGAACATTGGGGTGCATGAATCTTTTTGAATTATGGTTTTTGGGTATATGCCCAGTAGTGAGATTGCTGGGTCACATGGTATCTATATTTTTAGTTTTTAAGGGAACTTCCATATTGCTTTTCATAGTGACTGTATCAGTTTACACTCCCACCAACAGTGCATGAAGGGGAACCTTTTGTTTTAGTGTGAAGATCCCAGGAAAGTTGTGCAATGCAAGCTGGGACTTCCACACAGCGGGTCCTCAGTGGGATAGAATAAGCACAGTTGCTTTCATTTGCCATCTCATGGAGAGGCCTACGGGGGTCTGGCATAGTAGAAAACTGTGTGAGTTGTGCTCCAAGAAAGGAATCCTGCTCTTCTGTTTCTACCCCTTTCGTAGACACTTTGGGAGTGGGGAGCCTTTGACCACACATGTGAAAATGGGAGCGGTCATGAGGGTTTCCTGCAAGAGAGGAGAGACGCCATACAGCAGGTGCCACCTGCTCAGAGGACTGGTTCACCTGTGCCGGGAGCTCGTGGAAACCGAATGGGACAGTGAGAATTCTGAGAGCAGAGGCCAGTGCCCCAGCCCGTTCTTTGCCAGGCAGGCAGTAAAGAGCTGCCAGAATCAGCCAGGTAAACCTAATTATTCCTCCCAGAACAGTCGCCCAAGGTTAGGAGGACTGGAAATGGAGGGTGTACTTTTCGTCTAAAACCTGTCAATCTAAATGTTTTGTAATTCAGTAAAGGAACAATTAAGGAAGAAAAATTTCCAGAAAATCATTCAGTGAAAGTCCCTTCTCCCTCTTACATCATGGGTGTTTCAACACGTAGGATGGTCTATGAGAAATTTTAATCAGAAGAGGCCGCACCTTCAAGTAAGCCACTCTTTACATTCTTTCCCAGGCAAACTCATCACTCTGTAAATAAACCTGTAGTTGCATTTACATAAAAGTATTTAGTATGTTAGCATCTCCTCTGAAGATTGGGGCAAAAGAAAATAGACTGGATCTCTTTCTGTCAGTTAGGATTGTGTTCATCTGCATGCTACAGAAAGCTAGGTTTTGAAGGCTTAAACAGACGAGGAGTTTGTTTTTCTCTCATAACAAGAAAGTCAGAGGTAGGTAATTGCAGAAGCTGATTGAGAGGCTCAGCAATGTCAAGGCTGACACTTCTGGGGTCCTCTTGGTTGGCCTTTGTCTTGTGGTTCATGGCAGTTCAGCCACATGAGTGTTCAAGGCAGGAAAAGTGTATAGCCAGAAGAGGCGCATGAGACACAGCTGTCTCTTTATCAGGACAGTAAAAGCATTAAAGAAACCCCTTGCTCTGACCCAGCATACCTCTGACCGTTGACCTACACCTGGGCACATGGTCACACCTTAACTTTAATGGAAGTTGAGAAAATGAGTCATTTCTCCTTTCAGCCTTTGCAGAGAAGATTGGCAGGAGGGAAGGGGATTGGAAATGACTTTGGGGTTGTCAAATATCTATGTCTGCCTTACTACCACTCAGGCTCATTAAATTAGAGCCTCGCATTAGGATCAGTCAAGGGAGCTTTAAAGATCCAGATGCCCAGACCATACCCCAGACCGATTCCATCCAGGTCTGTGGGAGTGAGACCCAGTGGGACCCAGGCAGCAGTATTTTTGCAGATCAGTTCAGAATGCAAAGTTGAGAATGGCTGATGTAGCTGACTCGCCAGGACATTTTGGAATAACTTCTTCAGGTAATGTTTATTTATTTATTCAGAAGTCTCTACTGAGTGTCCCCTATGTTTATGGATACAGGAGAAAAGTGGGAATGGATTTATGCTTTATGCTTTTTGGTTACTTCCAGTACCTCTGATAGTATGGTGCTTTACAATGAAAAGAAAGCACTTTCTCTTCTAAACTCTACAGCATGGGGACATCCCTCACAGTCTAGTGGTTAAGACTTCACCTTCCAATGCAGGGGGTATAGGTTGGATCCCTGGTTGCTGAGCTGAGATCCCACATGCTTCATGGCCAAAAAAACCAAAACATAAAACAAAAACAGTATTGTAACAGATTCAATAAAGACTTTTTAAATGGTCCACATTTTAAAAAAAAAATCTTAAAAAAAATTTTAGAACAAGGCTATGGGACAGTATTATTTCAGTTTAAAATCTGAAGAAGCTTGATTGTTGAGAAGGTGAAGGGAGATGCTGCAAGACTCTCAGCTTTGAGCTGGTGTGTGGTGGATGGCTGAGGTGTCAGTTGAAAAGAGGTTTTCAGTCTCTGCATTCAGTGCTCTGTCCACTGGAGGAAAAACCCACATATATTCTGTAGCTGAGTCATCGTGCAAACTGAAACACCTTTTGCAAATGTGCCCAAAGTGAGGGGTATAGGAATATGGAATACATTGACCGGTTACTGTCTAAAAACTGATTTCTCAGTGCTGTATTGCATGCAGTCACCCATTAGATCTTTCTGATAAGACTCTTCACCAGCTACTGTTATCTCTACATTACTTTCAGGGAAACTAGAGGCTTAGTTACGTGTCTAAAGTCATAAGGTTAGTAGGAAGAGGAGGTAAGATTCGAATCCTTGCATCTGGTTCCAAACCTGTGTTTTTTAACTCAGAGCTGCCTTGTGTAGTTGAGCAGGTTTTTCATGCATAAAGGGGCCCAGCTGGGAGGGTGAGTGGGAGCTGAAATTCAGTTCAAGCTTAGTTCACCAAATCTCCACCCTAGCGTGGGGCTGTGTGCTCTCACGGGGATTACATGTTTCTCTAACTCCTGTGCAGGTAACCTGTAGACTATATGTGTTCCAGTCTTAATCACTGCTTATTGCCTTTTCTCAACACAGCTTCGTTTCATTTATTCGTCTGACTTGGTTCGTGGTTCAGTGGTAGAGTTCTCACCTGCCATTTATTTGTCTGCTCACTCATTCACAAATATCTATAGAAGGTCTTCAGGGCTGGGCAATCTCTAGGAGACACTGACCAATACAGACTTCAGGCCTCTTCCCTGCCCAGATGCGTGCATATTCCTCATTAGAATTTATTCATACCAAGGGTGTGATTGCAGGAACTTAAAAATTATTATTCTTTTTAACTGAAGCAATTATCTAGAAATCAGAGAGTTAAAAAAAAATTATGAAACGCTCTAATCTGCCACCCTGCCCACCCCCACCCTACCAGCTCTATCAGAGGTTCCTTTCTGGTTTTATTCTTGCCGATTCACCAGATATCCTGTGCCTTGCAAATGCTATCAAGCTGTGCACCGTGGTCCTTTTTGGCCAAGGGAGACCAATGAGGTGAAATTAGAATGCATAGTTCTGGCTTCTCTCATGTAGGTAAGGCCTCAGAAACTTTAGCATACCAAGTTATACTGCAACATTCTCTCTGTCCTTTTCTTTGCCTCATCTTTTTCTCTCTCTTTCTCTATCACTGCTATGCCCTTTGTACCTGGCATGATGTCTGAAACACAGTAGGCATTTAATAAGTATTTTTGAATGAACGAAGAAAGGGATATCAGTTATGGCTACTATTTACATGCTGTTGCTGTTCAGTCACTCAGTCGTGTCCAACTCTTTGTGACCCCGTGGACTGAAGCACGCAAGGCCTCCCTGTCCCTCCTCGTCTCCTGGAGTTTGTCCAAGTTCATGTTCATTGCATCAGTGATGCCATCCAGCCATCTTATCCCCTGACACCCTCTTCTCCTTCTGCCCTCAATCTTTCCCAGCATCAGGGACTTTTCCAATGAATCGTCTATTTGCATCAGATGACCAATATCCTGGAGCTTCAGCCTCAGCATCAGTCCTTCTAGTGGATATTCAGGATTGATCTCCCTTAAGATTGATTGGTTTGATTTCCTTGCTGTCCAAGGGACTTTCAGGAGTCTTCTCCAGCACCACAATTCGAAGGCATCAATTCTTTGGCATTCTGACCTGGCAATTTTCAAAGTGCTTTTCACTTAATGTCATCCAGTCTTAATAGCAAACTATGGGATTGATATTGTTAATATTGAATCATATATATATATATATATATATATATATATATATATGAATCATTATACACACACACAGAGATATATGGAAAGTGAAAGTATTAGTCGCTCAGTTGTGTCTGACTCTGTGACCCTATGAAGTGTAGCCCACCAGGCTTCTCTGTCCGTGGGATTCTCCAGGAAAAAATACTGGAATGGGTTGCCATTCCTTTCTTCAGGGGATTTTCCTGATCCAGGGTTCAAACCCAGGTCTCCTGCAATGCAGGCAGATTCTTTACTGTCTGAACCACCAGGGGAATTATGTTTAAATGACATAAAATAACCTACTCAGATGGTGGACAAGTACCTGAAGCCACCCTTCTCTGAAAACAACTAAATATACTGAATAAAATTTTAAGATAGCTTTTTCAGGAATACTCCAGCCTAGAACTAGATGAAGGTGGGAGCCCAGTTACTGCCCTGAAGACATTTTCTTGGTCAAACTTAGCATCAGTTTTTAAGGTTTCCTGGGGTTTGAAGTTTGGAAGACAAAATTCAGGTAGAGAATATAATAGAAGACCCTCAAGAAAGCTGGGGCTCTGTGGAGCTATCCCCATAGTGCAAGGGTGAATTAAAAATAAAACTAAGAGGCCCTCGCTTCACTCAGGGACCTCAAGGAAAACTTTGTCAACCTTGGCAATGAACTAAAGGGAGAAAATATTCCTTAAAAATTGATAATCATAAGCCATCACCTAGGTGGTCTAAAATATCTCAAGCTGATAAATTTCTTTAATGTTTTTCAGAATTGGTAATGTCTCCATTCACTGACAGAAGTAAACACAAATATCTTTTTGAGGAATACCACATCCATCCTAGGCCTTAAAGATTTTTCACAGGTAAAATTCTAAGGGAAATTAGCTTTTGATAATAAAAAATCCTTAAACATACAAATAAATGAGACACCATTTGCAACAGCCAGCAGAAACAACAGATAACAAAATAAGACCTTAAAAACCTTAGGTTTTGAAAAGGTCAACCACAGAATATAGACTAGTATGTTTTATAAAGTGGAGTAAAATATGAGTAAAGAACACTCAGATTAGTAGAAAGAATTCCTATAAATAAAGAATATGATAATATCCTAGTGACCATTTAATGTTATAACATTGATGTGTTTTATGACATTTCTGTTTTAAAGGCCTTAGTCTGTGTAAACAATTCTGTTGATATATTTGCATAAGGCGGTTCTATTTCTCTTTTCTTAGCATTTCTATGTGAATATCAATTTATACACAGCCATGGTACTCTCAGCTTTAGGGACCAGTCACAGTGAGAACTGATGCATATTTCTGTTTAATGACTTGATAGTATTATCTAAGATGATTCAACATATTAATGTTTATTCACTGCTAGGTCGTGATAATAATACCACCTTTGTAGAGTTGTTCTCAGTATAGTGATTAGCAGGTTGCCTATTGGAGTCTCACACTGACTGTATCAACCATGTATAAACAGTGTGACCTTGAACAATTTTTTCATTCTTTCTGAGCCTTGATTTCCTTATTTGCAAAAAGAGGTTACTTATAGTACATATGTCATAATGTTGTCGAGGGAGAAAAGGAGATAATGCAAGTGCTTTGCACTTAGCTGGCCCAAATCGATGTTGCTTGTTACTGTGAGTATATAGTGTATATAGTCTGGTACATAGGAGGAAATCCATAAATAATGTTCTATTAAGTATTATTATTCTTAACCAGAAGTTATTTGAATTTATTTTGTTAAGGACGGCATCTGTTCATTTTAAGCTGAAAAGTATCCTACAGTTTAACTATTCTGTCCCCTCACTTTACAGGCAAAAAATATTCTAGAAATGTGGAGTTTGTATCAGATGTAGTCTCCCTGACCTCTGGGTTTGTGCAGATGTTAATGAAGGAGAGAAAAATATGAGCACTTTAAGCATTGGTGGGTGAATCAATCCTTTATTCTTCTGTAATAAAAAGACACTTTAGTGTTTCAACGGGCTTTTTTTTTTTCTCACAGAGCAGGACCGTCAGTGGGTCTGGCCAGAATTTCTGGAAATAGGAGGAGTTTGGAGGGGATGCTGAAGGTGGGAGCAGTCCTCTCCTGGGACTCAGACTGTAAACCGACTGGATGTGAAGCCAGTCAGCAGAAGTACTGGCAAAGTCAGCACTGAGAAAAGGTTAAACTGAGAAAGGAGAAGTTTATGAGAGACTGAGAAAAGGGAGGTGGAAGTGAAAGGGAGAGGGGCTGGAGGGGGAGAAAAAGTAGAGGAAAAGGAGAGGTTTAGATGTTTTGTATTAGAAGAATAGAACATTGGTGGCTGATTTATGAATGTTACTTTTGAGATCACCTCATTTTCACTCTTTTCTAGGGTTGTGTATATGGTTGTTTTGAGTTTGAATGGATGATGAAATATGTCTCCAAAGTGAAAGTGAAGTCGCTTAGTCATGTCCAACTCTTTGTGACCCCGTGGACTGTATAGCCCACCAGGCTCCTCTGTCCATGGGATTCCCCAGGCAAGAATACTGGAGTGGATTGTCATTTCCTTCTCCAGGGGATCTTCCCAATCCAGGAATCGAACCCAGGTCTCCTGCATTGCAGGCAGACGCTTTAACCTCTGAACCACCGAAGCCTTCCAAAAGCAGTATGGACTATTCCCCCAATCAGGAAACCAATTTAAGTCTTTTAAAAAATCACATAACTCTTTGATGAAAAAGATAGCTGTTCTGTGAAAGGGATATTGGTGCCTACAGAAAACAGTTTCTGATGCTTTCTCTTTTTAAGTATCATTGAGACAGTTTACAAGGCTGAAAGCTCTGAGTGTATTGCTAAGGTAGTTGAGAACTTGATGTAACTAATTAAGTCCCCTAGAAATTAGTTCTGCCAGATGCTGTTATTGGCAATAACTGCTTGGGGAATTAGGAAAGTTGAGACAAAAATGAATAAAGAGGAAACTTAGCTATTTATAGAGAAATAGAAAAGAAGGCTTATGGGCTCTTGGTGTCCCATGAAATGAAAGGAAGAGTAGGCTTAGAGCACTGAATTCATTGCAAGGGCCTGTATGAGGTGCCTGGAATATCTGTTAGTGACACAGAAAGAGAATATATGGATGTTAGCAGAGCCCAGAGGGCTATTTGGATCTGAGAAAACTCAGAAGTTTTTAACAAATTGCTGAGAGGAAATCTTGATACCAAGCTAAGCAATTCAGATAAGGTGATTTAAAAGGCTAAGAATTAGTGGAAAAGGTACTTCGTTGTGACTTAGATGTTCATTTCTTAAAAAGTTGCTCTAAAATGTAATCCTTAAGATTATCAACTTAAACATAGCTATTGGTGGCTATGGAAGACAATTCTGTTTCTGTTTAGAATTTTCATTCTGAAGAATTTTATGCTAGAAAATGAGGAAATATATTATTCGGAGGCTACAAGTTTAGCTGTTTTTGATGTATCAATGGTGGGAAAATAAGTTGGTAAAGAGACCTAATGTCTATAAAGAGAAAGGTGTTGGTAGAGACCTACTTCTGAATGGCAGGTAAAGCCACAGGTTTTGTTTTTGAATCAGGTGGCTATAGCAGGACCACCACTTGGTGGCAGCATACTTAAAATGTGCCTACTAGATTTTGAATTGGGGTGATGAATAAAGTTCTTTTAAAAGTTGAAACTATGAAATAAAGCTTATGAAGTGACAAGAAAGTTATAGCAATAGTGCTTGAACGGCTTAAACCCAGCCAAGAAAATATAAAGTATCTCTTATGCTACTAAGAATGAACAGAGAGTGGAAGAGATTTTTTTTCTTCTAAATTCTGTCTAATTCTTTAAATTGTGTCTATTTATTTTGGGTTTCTGCCTCAGATTTTTCGTTATGTACATCTGTAGCCCCCATATTTGAGTTATTTTTAAAGTTGTAACTTTCCTTCCCTTTGGGGGGAGTAGAGAAAAAAAAAACAAAAAAGTTTGAGTTATGATTAATTAACTTTTCGTAGACCAGGGAAATTATTCTCTTGTTTGGCTCTTTGATCACTGGATCACAGAACTTATGTGAGGGAAAAATATGGATATTTACTTAACTGTACTCTGGATAGGAAGAAAATTTCAATGTCAGAGATGTTTTTTGTTTGGTAGCTTGTTTTTGTTTCTTCTTAATATGAAAATTTGTGAGTTAAAATAAATGAACTACTGGCTTGTTTTGGGCTTAGCTCAGTGAAGATTTTGTTGTTTTGGATTTGTCCAGTTCAATGATATGAGAAAATATGTAAGCTCAATACTGACTGAACCAAGGTATGGCACTGGGTCTAAACTTTGGGCAAAATATATATTTCAGTTGATAAAATCACTGAAAATGTTGACATTTATGTTTACTCATTTTATATTAGTTTTCTGTACCTAGTTTGGTAGATTTAAGTTCTTCATAGAAATAACAAGAGTGTTGATATGAATATAGAATATAAACATCTTTAATTTATGATATCTTTAAGTAAATTATTAAATTTTTGCTTGTATTTATTAGAACACACTTAGCACTTCTCAGTCTTTTTCTGCACTTCATAATACGATGATTTGTAATCCTAGCATTAATGAGCTCTTCTGGTCCCTTCTCTCTCTTCCACATGAATTCCTGAGGACACAGTGTCCGTGCCTGGCGCACTAGCAGCCACTTTCTTTCTTCAGGCGGCAACAGGGTCAGGTGGATGAATTCTGTCCACAGATCAAGCATGGAATTATTATCTAGAGTTAATAGTTAATAATTTGTCATGTTATCAGAACCTAGAGTAGCTTCTAAATGAGTATCGCACAGTGAAGCAAAAGCCGGAAGAGTCCCTGTCTGGTCATCTTCTGAGGTTAATAAGCCACTGTGCCTTAGTGACCGGTGTCCTGTGAAACAGAGGGGGCAAATTGTTTAAAGCCAGTGCTGGCACTAGCCTCTTCTGCATTTTGAGAAGGGAGGCATACTTCCAATCAGTGGGGTCAGGAGTACTGAGACTGTGTCTCCCCACAGTCCGTCCTAACGGGAACTGGAATGCGTGAGGCCTGGAGCAGATGCTGCGGAGGATACGGATGCTTTGGGTGTTGCCAGAGTCCAGCCCCAGGGGTGGAGACAGTAAGAGAGGGAAATTTTCTGCAAAAATGCAAGTCTTTCTTTTTTTCTAAGCAACAAGAGACCAGGGAGACTGGGAGGAGAGAGGAGAGTCATGCAGCCTGACCTGAGATTTATTGACTGATTGACCAAAAAACCCTCCAAGAGAAATAGGGATCTAGTATTAAAATATACAGTATTTGCAATGCTGTCCTGTAAGCATCCCGCATCACTGCAGATCTTCAGTAAAACCCCCAGTGAGTACATATTCTTTGGGGGAGGGTTTTCTTTCTTTCTTTTTTTTTTCTCTTAGTTTTGTGGCAGTCAGCAACAGTGCTGAGTTTGCTACCAGGACTGATATGAAGCATGGAGAAAGGACAGCTGTGGAGGTGGGGCTGCTGTGACATTGAGGATGATTGCTTCGTAGGAGCTGGCACTCAGATCAAAAGTGGCAGTGTAAATAAACCCCAGCGAATGTGCAGGCATCTGGGGAAGGACGAGAAATAGAAATCCTGAGCCTCCAGTTAAAACAGAGAGAGAGAGAGAGATTCCACCAATATGTGCCTGTTAGGTGAGGTCCCTCACTGTCCTTGCTCCCACGTTAGGTACCATAGACCAAGAGAAAAAGAGTAACACTTGGGCCTTTCCCTGAAGAAACCATGAACCAAATTGGGAGAATCAATTTAACACATGCAATATGGTAACAATATTTCTTCATATTTTCTGACATGGTAAAAATAGAAAGTGCTGCAGCAGAAGGAACTTGGGGAAAAAAACTTAAGTTGGTATCAATATCTTTGTA